CTAATCAAACATTAAATTAAGAATTTTTCAAGTCCCTGTGGATTCGACCCTACTTCTCTACGCTACGAATTTTCCTTTAATTATTATCCGAGAAGAAGGAATTTATTTTGACATCGAAACGACAGTTGTCAATGGTATTTTAAATGAAAAAAAAATCTTACGATCTCGTTATAAAGAAGAGATAGTGCAAGTGTCTTAGACCTTCATGAACGTTTTCTTCATCTAATGATTCTTGGTGGTTTCGACCATCCGGAGGTCGTTATTCTACTCTTAGAGCCTTAGATATTTGGTGGTTACTTTATTTCAAAAACAATATTAAAATAAACCTACCTCAGATTATTTTTGCTGAAATTATGAAACCATAAATCTTGTTCCTAACAAGAAGCTATGTTCATCTCTAGTTTATGGTTGCATTTGAGTAATCTGTTTTCCAAAGCTGGGCTTAGAGTCGGTCTAGATGCCATTTTTCCCCTTAAGAAACAAATTAATCTTCTTTCCTTAATGAGAGCGGGATGGATAAGGATAAGGAAACCGGTGAATGGGTTCGATCTTCTGCAAATACTCGAGAGCTAGTTCTTCACGAGCTCCACCAGAAGCTGATGACGATCTCGAGCTTGAGCAATTAATGTGAGACATCGATGAAGCCGAAGATGAGCTGAGCAGCCCGAGGAGCAAGCACAACAAACGCATCAAATGCCTCCATATTTTCAATCCTTTATGGAGACATTCGATTTCCATATGCTACCATGGATTTGCGCTTTACTTCTATAGAGTCTCATTATACACATGGGAGCTCAACAATTAGAAATTCTTCGGGAGATACGTGCAAACAACGAAGCAACCAACGAGCGTATTAATGAACTCACTCACGAAATGGCCGCTATGCGAGTTCGTTTTCCTCCTCCTGATCCGGATATGTGATTCTGTGCTTAGCTTTAAAACGTTGAACTAAACGATTATTGCTTCAACTTTTTGGATTGTTTGATTTTGTGACTTTGGATTGTTTGGATGTTTGAATTTGTGGATTGATTGATTTTGAATTTGTTTGGATTTATGGATGATGTGAACTTATATATTTGGTGTGATTTATTCATTATTGCATCATTTACATAATTTAGTAATATGATCAATTTTTCCATGTCACTTAATTATGAATATTGATTATGGAACTAATGGCTAACGTTTCTTTTGCTTGTGATCTTAGCAGCTTAAACTATATAATCAATTGGCTAAATAATTTCAAAAACTTGTTTAAATTCTTCAAAATATCTTTTTGATTTAACAAAAAGGGGGAGAAGTGTTAAATGTGTTTTAAATGATAAATGGGAGAAGTGTTAAAGGAAGGGGGAGTAATTTCAAAACTTGATTTCAAAATCTAAAATTACTAAAATGTTTGTTATCAAAAAGGGGGAGATTGTTGAAAACATTTTGATATTTCGATATAACAAATTAAGTTAAATGAATTTTACGATTTTCCAAATAATTTTCTAAGTATATTCGATATAACTATTCGAATATCAAAACATTACTCCAAATCTTTCAAAAATCATTTTTAATCCTTACTCAAGTGTAAAATTAAGTTCTTAAAACATTTCAAAATAATTTTACAAAGTATTTCGAACCATTTCAAAGCCAAAACTTCCAGATTGCTCACAGGGAACCGATTCCCCCCCAAGGGAGTACTGATTCCCCCTGAATGGTTTGGCTCGAGAATTTCAGTATGCTCGGAGGGAACCGATTCCCCCAGGGGGTACCGATTCCCCCTTGTATAACGGTCAAAATATTTGAATTTTACACTTAGGGAACCGATTCCCCATAGGGGGTACCGATTCCTCCCACGCTCCAAGTTGTTTTATTAATTGTTTTCACACTAAAACGGCTATATGATCTTCACTAATCATCCCCACGTTCAGAAGTGATTCAAGGTGTATTTAAACAAGTTCTGAAGCCTTTGATCAAGAAGGAATCATAGAAAAACAAGAGTGAAAGCTCAAACACCAAGTTTGTGCAAATCAAGCCAATTTCCTTTCAATATTCGTTTTCTTTCAAAGAACACCATTTGTGCTCATTGTAATTATTTGTGAGTGTTTCTGTTCTAGAATTGTGCAAACATCTTACCTTGTGAGGTTTTCCTTGTAAGTTTGCAAATTTGTAATCTTCTCTTTGGGAAAGAGTGTTCTCAAGAATTGAGGTATATTCTTGAGGGTGTTGTAAGGTTATCTCTTTGGCCTCAAAAGAAAGAACAAATTAGTGAATTTGTTGGAAAATCCTTAGTGGGATAGCTAGGTAGTGGACGTAGACTTTGATGAGAAAGTCGAACCACTCTAAATCGCTGTGCAATTACTTTCAATTTCTGCAAAAGCTTCCACCAAATTTTTAATTGCCAATTCACCCCCCTCTTGGCCAATTCCGTCAATCGATAACTCAACAGATTCTGATATCCTGTTTTTACATTTGTTTCAATTTAGTCACTTATTACTCTTGAATATGTTTGGTTAATATTTGCTCCTAATGGATAATTTATGATTATGTCATTTTGGTCCTTTGAATCACTAAGTATGCTTAGTTTCCTTGTTTGCATTCTGTTTTTTAAATGATTTCATGTTTCTATTCGGTCCTAATTCGTATGTACATGTTTGACATATGTTTGCTATATTTATATTATGATTTTGCATGCAAAAATGTATTTACTATATTCCGTGTACTGTTTTTCCATATACATTCATTATCTTTTTATATATGTACAAACTTTAGGTACTAGGCGATATATTATATATATATATATATATATGTATACACGTATATGCCATATGTTTAATACTTGTATTCATATATATATATATATATATATATATATATATATATTGCTCTTCTTGAAATTATTTTATGATAGTATTATAAATATTTTTTTTATATTTTATTTGAACATTTTCAAGAACTTTATTTGTAGAACGTGCGTGGAAAGTACAACTTGATCAAAGTGGTGCAATCCGATACGACGTTCACACGGAATATGAACTTGAAAGTGCAAACCCTTTTTTATGAATTTATTAAAATCATTATATTTTATTTTATTATGTTCAATTCATTCTATTTTTATTATTATTTTATTTTCATAGTGTTTAATGTTTTAATTTTATTTTTTATTTTGTTTTATTTTTTATTTTGTCATATTTAATGTTGTATTAATGATGTTGTTTTAGAAAAATGAATCATTATTCTATGCAATTTTTCGATATTAACTATTTTTAATTCGATTAACTTATTTTTAAGTAATTCGAAGATAAAATATCTTTACAGATAAGAAATAGATGAGATAGTGTCCTCGATGGAGGATTGCGATTCTCGAAAATTTTTATCAAGTTAAAGAATTTTCTTTAATTAATCAATTCAGGGTAATTTAATTAATATTCAATAAATAAATCATAATTTTAATTTTGATTCAAATTTTAAGTTCCATCAATACGAAATTGTATAAGCGACTAAGTACTAATTTTGGGCGCTGTTGGGTGTTTATCCTTCCCCACGTGTAACCGACTTCCAAATAAATTTTCGATAACGCATGGCCAACTTTTGTCTTTTAAATTATTTTTCTAAATTGTTTAAAAGATATTTTTAGGTATTCAGCACCTAACCCAAAGATCGATGACGACTCTCATAAATTAATTTAAAATCGATAATTTTCAAAAAATAGTCATAATTATTTTTTAAACTTAAATATTTAAAAAAATGATTATGAGAGTAATGTTTAGAGCAACTCCAGCGTTGTGCGTTGTGCTGGAGTGGAGTTAAATCTCCATTTGGAGTCTCCAGCACTGCGTCAAATTCATCTCCACTTTGAAGAGCAATGAAACTACACGCTACATGTAGTAACTCTACAAAAACAAATTATGATATTTGGTTTTTTTTATGATTAAATTGCAAGATAGATAAAATACATTGAAATTTGATGAATAAACATATTAATTTGCTCTATGAAATGTATTGAGCATTTGTGGAATGAATATTCTAATTCAGAGAATTAAAATAAATAATTATGTAACTTATGTTTTTCGCATTATTATTATTAATTGCAGTTTTCTTATTTATTTGTATTTTCGCAATGTTATTTATGAATGTTTTATTTATACTTTTTATCTTAATATTTTTTAAAATTGTATATGTTTTATTTTATATTTGCAAAATCAATATTATAATAATTAAATATTGTGAATAAAGTAGAGTTGGTGGTAATGTAGAGATAGTGTTGGAGATGAATTATTGTTTCATCTTTAGAGTAGAGATAGAGATATTGTAGAGTAGAGATGAAGGTCGGAGATGGCCTTAGGAAAGAAGTTATTTGCTTATTACTAATATATTTGACCCACGTCGGATGCAATTTGCCCTAAAGAAATGTATCCGCTGTCTTCTTCGACCGTAAAAGCTTCCAAAAAAATCTCTTCCTTTTCTTGCTTTGAGCAAATCTCATACGAGCTCCGTTCTCTCGATCCGACCACCGGAACTGTCGTTAGCGTTGCCTTCGATGCCTTCTGCATCGTTGAGGTTACTTTTGATTCTTTCATCCTCAAGATTTTGTTCTATTTTTTTGTCAAGTTGTTCAAGAAATCTGAAGCTATTTATTATTGAAATTAGCTTTGAATTCCTTCAATTCCTTCTTTTAAATTTTTTACCTAAGCTCCTTATCCGTGGACCCATCGAAATATCGTTCAATCTTCATTTTACTGCTCTTGATTTTACTTTGTTGTGGTTTGGCATAATTTCTGTCTTTGTTCCTAGAAATATTATTATGTTTCTTGATTGTTTTATACCATCGTAAAGTAAACAATATCAATTATGTTCGGAAATGAACTATATAGTTTTCCTAGCTAATTTATTATTGTCATGTGTGCTTTATGGACGTTGTATTGAGAAAAAATAAGTTGCATCTGATAGCAATTGAATTATAAATTAAGATGATTTGAGCAACATATATTAATGATTACGTAATTGTAATTTATTTCTGCATAAGTTTGTATTCTTTATTCTATTGGATTATTTTGAGTTGATCATTGTTTGTGTCTGCAATAAATTTTCCAGGCATCTATATACATTTGTTGATAGGTTAGAGATATGAACTGGTTCAACGTATGATCTATCTCTACAATGTCACCTTCGGACTCTACATGTTGGATTGGTGGGAACGTTTCCTTTTCAGTATCCTTTTCCCTTCATTTTATGTAATGATAGATAGATACCTAATATGTATAAGTTCTGGTATAGATTTTTCGGGGTTTGTACAATATAAGGGCTTCTAATATTTTGTTTTGAGGACTTAATCATTATCATCGTTTACCTAAAAATGCTGCAAATGGTTATTTTGTGGAAGCCTCTCAAAATTATGCTGATATTGTTATAGAAGGAGCTGTTTTTCTGTTTTCTAGTATTCTATGATGTTATCAGTTTTAGTATTTGGTCTGTTGTCGTATTTTAAGGTTTGATTTTGGAATTGAGTTAATCGGCTTTCTTATCTGTGTGTTTAGAATAGTCAAAGGGTTTTATTGGCTTCTTTGTTCACCACAACGTTTTTAAGTCTATGTAGCATTGTAATGTCTCAACTGTAGTTCCTAAGCCATGGAAGACACATTGGTAATTGTGTTGATATGGTTCGTCTTCTACAACAGCTCACGATATGTAACTGAGTTCTGCAAAAGGTAGTTCCTTCCGTTGTCCTCTGGTTCCATTTCATTGAAATAATTTTGGTGGATAAATTTTATTGTCTAAAACTTAGGTCATCATTCTACTTTCTTTTATAGTTTAGTTTTTATAATTAAGTATTGACTTCTTGTTCCTTTCGTTGACTTGTCAACTTGTCACAAAAATATTTATGTTCTTTCTATGTTTGAGACTCGGTTCTTGTTTCGATCTTCTGGTGAACCTATGGATAAACTTGACTTTGTTTTAGTCTTACTCTTTTAGAATAATTTAAAAGGAAAGAAGAAAATGGGAGATAAAAAAAGTCGTTTTATGAACTTATTAGACTATTGAAGCTGATAGACGGTCAAGATTGTAGATAAATTAGAGTTAGATATAACTATATGATATGTTCTTCAATCTTTCCTTTCTAGAGCTTTCGCACATTTATTATATCGAACGGGACACTAATGTCATACTTGCTGATTTGTCGTGGGAATATTGCAAATGAAATTTTGAAATATTGAAATAACATACTGCATCTTGGGATCTGTATTCTTATGATGCAACTAAAATTTGATGGATGTTTTTCATGTTATTGATGGTGTAAAGTGCTGTATAAAAAAGAAGAAGAAAGAAAGTAGAAGATAGTTATGCCTTTCCTTGAGGGCGAACTTAAATTTTAAGGGGATAAAAACATATATCAATAGAAAATTTAAAAAATATATATATAAAATATATGGGAATTTGACATTTTTAGAGGGACGAATGCCCCGCCAGCCCTCCTCCTGGGTCCATCCATTCTCTTAATGGTAGTTTGGCCCGCACAACTACAATTGTACTTGATACTTGTTTCTTTTCTGTAAATTTCAGGCATCTATACTAGGGTTGGGAGTAGGGCTATAAATGAGATGATCGCGAGCTACTCGAGATTAATTCTGTCAAGGTTCGATAAATACTCGAATCGAATGGACTCAAGCTCGAGCTCGACTCGAATTCTTATCGAGCCGAAACGAGCTACTTGATACTTTACTCGAAAATCTCGTGAGCAGCTTGAAATATAATATATAATATTTATTTTTTAAAAATAATTATTAATAATATTAACATTTATGTGTTGATTGTTTTAAAAAAATACAATAAGACTTTCATGTATTTAAGGTTCAGGTTCGAGTTTGAGTTTGAGGTTTTAATCTAGTTAAGTTTAAGATTTTTTTTTTTCATTTCGAGCTGCTCAGAGCTTCAGTTCAGAATTTCGAGTTCGAGTCGAGTTTAAAAATTTAAGCTCGCGAGTTTTCGAGTCGAGCTCCATTTCAAAGTTTCGAGTCGAGTCGAGCTTAACATACTTGAGCTCGACTTGGCTCGTTTACACCCCTAGTTGGGAGGTGGCATTGGCCTGACAGATTGCAATGATGATGGTATTAAAATACTTTTGAATTATACAGTTGAAAACCTTGCTTATGTGAATTATACAGTACGGAATAAACTGGTGCATGTCTCACATGTATTGTTAGACTATTTTAAAAGCCATTACTTGCAGAAATTTTAGGACATTGGCGCTGTTGTAACTATTGTTGAAACTGTTATAACATTATTAGAAAAAAGAAAACTCTTTTGTTCCTCTTAAATAAGGTAGAATAGTTTAATGTTGTTCTCCTTCTATAAGCGCTTTAATCGGTAGATTTTAATTATTTTTGCTTTTTACAATGTAAGACTTAGTGCTATAAGATAAGATGTTTATATCATAGCATATGTTATTTTGGGTTTTTCATTTTGCTTAAAGTTTGTGTATCTGATACTTATTCAATTTTGAGCTATACCATGGCCGGCTCTTTGGGAGAACCCTGAGCAACTCCTCAGACTCTAATTTATGTATTTATAATATAATTGAATTCCTAATTTTTATATTTATAAATAGGGCTCTTAATTTTTATATTATAATTGAGGCTATAATTTCTTTCTAATTTCATAAAATTCTAAAATTCTAAAATTTTGAATTTTTTCAATTTTGTATTAATTCATTTAATTTTTATTTAAATATAATCATATTTTTTCTTTTTTTAAATCTCATATTTCATTTATCAAATATTATTTAACTTTTAGTACCAGTTTGGCGCATCTTTTGAAAAATGACTTTTAAAAGTGAGTACAATGAACTTTTAAAAGTGTCGTACAAAGTGTAGTTTAAAATTTAAGTGTTTGGGAATATTGCTAAAAAGCAAGTTTGAAAATATTAATTATAGACATTATGTTATAAATTAAAAATGTATCATTTAAATCATATTTACACTTATTAATATTATGATATATAAAATATATCAACTTAACTTATAATAAAATTATAAAAAAATATTTTAAGGTGACTCATTAATAATATTTTTATATATGAAATATTTTATTAAGAAATTATTATCAATACTTTTTAACACATGGACATAAAATATTATGAAATAACAATTTAAATACTTGTTTTTGACAAAAAGAATATTACAAAAATATTATTAATTAAAATAAATTATTAAATAATAAATTATTTTCTAAGGATGTTAGTATTAAATAAAATATAAATACATAATTGAATGGAGCCCATGCATTACCAAGGCTAAAATTATAATTTGTTTCCCAACGCAAAGTTGAAACTGAAAAAGCTAGAAATATTAGCTTTTGCAATTAGTTTGAAATCACCGTTTCGACTGCAATTGTTTCCACTTTTTATCCGTTTGACATTTATTTTGATATCCAAACGTATTTTATTTACCTAAAAGTGCTTTAAGAAAGCCAAGTAAAACGAGGTTATAGTATTCTTCAATCTCAATTTAACGATTAAATAATACACCACTTTTCATTCTTGGGTTAACTACTTTTCATTTTTGGGTTAACTACATGATTGATCACTTATGCTTGTGTTTTGTGCATTTTTCCTCGTTGACTTTAGAAAACATAATATATGATATCTTTCGTTTTTATTTAATTAAGATGTAGTCACCACTAGTTAATTGTTGTTAACAATTAACTTATTAGATGACATGGTATTTTGGTATAATCACATATTTAGTCTCTGTTATTTACATATTCTCTTAATTTAGCCCTACATTTAATAAATTAAAATAAATTTAATGTATAGTTGAATGATGATACGTTTCACCATTCGGTTGGAGGACTAACTTTATTTTAATTTGTTAAAATAAAACAAAACAAGTCAAATTAGGTTTTATTTAATTAAGATGTGGCCACCACGAGTTAATTGTTGTTAACATTTAACAGATTAGGTGATGTGGTATTTTGGTATAATAACATATTTAGTCTCTATTATTTATATATTGTCTCAATTTAGTCATACATTTAACAAATTAAAATAAATTTAATCATCCAGTTGAATGATGATACTTTTCACCATTCGGTTGAAGGACTAAATTCATTTTTATTTGTTGTAATAAACAAAACAAATCAAATTGAGGCTGAAGGGATTGAAACTTAGGTCCCTTAGAAAACTAAGCATGTACCCAACCATTGAGCGAAGACCAATGCTTAATCTAAAATAGACAACATGATGTATATATTTGTATCTTAGTGATAAAAGCTATAAAACAAAGTTATATAGCAAATCAACCAAATCTATTTCTAAAAATAATTGAAAGTACCATACATTTAATCATAAGAATTTATACTCAAAATCATAAAGCATCAAACACATAAAAGAAGTAGCAAAGTAAACATAAAATAATAAATCCACAATATATCCAAAGTTTTTAAAGCATTCAAATCACTCACTCTCTCAATAAAAAGCCTCGAATGGTGATCTGCTGACTGCCGATGTTACTTAGCGAGCTCTCCATTTGCTATAACAATCTCTGGCAGGGGCTTAAGCTTCCATGATGCACAAAGGATCAACGTGTAGTGGAATACTTTCTAATGGCTTCCAATCATCACCCTTTTTGGCTTGCAAAGTACTCCAATTTATAGCTTTAAGGAGATTTTCATCCTATAAAGGAAGGCTTCCACGTTTCAAGTGATATCCATCCCATTAACAGCTGCCCAAGCCAGCTGTCCCATCCAAAAAGTTCTCCCAACTATCTGGAGCTTCATCTACTGATGCTGCATCCACTCAACATTTCATGTAATGCTGTGGCATTAGTGTAACAATTTTGCAAACAAAAATCAATTTTAGCCCAAGGCAACCCAAAAATTTCCTAATATGCAAAAAGTATAACATTAAGCAAATATAGTCCTAGAATGCTCCTAAAAATTCTCAAGTTGAAAAAGGCTACTAAAGATAACTCTTTTGGAGAGTTATCAGTGGTGATGTCTTGTTCCCTATACGCCTCGTGCGTCTCTTCTTTTTGAGTGGGTTCTTCAGGTTTAATCACTTGGGTGGTATTTCGTGTCATGACTTCAGATGCCGTGATAAGAGAATCACATGCACGACGCACTGACCTCTTTAAACGGTGTCTGGTCATAGCAGATCTACAAGCTACGACAGATGATAACTCCGTTAAGAGACTATCATTTAGGTTATTTTACTTAAGTTATTGAGTGTCTAAAAGCCATTGAATTAGCATTTTAACTGCATTTAGTTACATTTAGGACATATTTGTGTAATACCCCAAAAATTTATATAATGACCAAAATGAAAATTTTGAAAGTTTGATGATCAAAGTAGAAAATTTGGGAAACAATTTAGGGAATTAAGTGATAATTTCCTAAAAAGAATTTTATTCTATAAATAGATGGTTTACTCTTGAGAGTGGATTTTTATAGAAATTATATTTTTGGATTTGGAATTTTAGTAAAGAAAAAAAAACTAGAAAGGGTTAAAGCCGGTAAGGAAATCGGTATTTCAGATCGAATTGGAATTTTACAAAAATTTGAAGGATGTTATAAATTGGTTGGAAATATTATTTTAATATTTTGGATCAGATAAATTTGGTTTGGAAATTTGTAATTTTTTAGATTTAACCGAAACAGTGGAATTTAGTGACTAAAATGCAAATTTTGAAAATTCAGGGGGGATTTCGGATATGAAAGTCAAATTAATTCATGTTTGACTTTGTAATATGATAATGATCAGATGTCTTGGTTTTATGGTGATTATGGAGATTCATTAAGGGAAAAATTGGAAATTCTTACTGAATGGAATAAAAAAAAAATTCATTATGATATTATATTAAGCATGTGCTAGATCTAATTAACATTAGAATAACAATAATGGGGGGAACATTTCAGCTTCTTCTTCATCCAAGGGCCGGCACCTCCCAGCTTGCAAGGTAGGTATTTTTGGTTTTGAATTTTGAAGCAATTTTGTTGAGAATTAGACTTCGGTGTAGTAAGCAAAATATTCTACGATCAATTCTCTACATTTTGACATGAATATTACTAGGGTTTCATGTTCAAGTTCATCTTGAGTTGATGAAGAGGATTTTGATTCTTGTGTTTTATGGGTTTTGAAGAGTTAAGTGATTTTAAAGAATTGGTTGTAAGAAATGATGAAGAACCTAAGAATGAAGTTAAAGAAAACAATTTGGATTTTTAAATATGGCAGTAGGTTCGAAAATTCACAAGAAATTATATAAAAATAAATTCAAGGTTATTTTTATATAATTGTATTTATATATCGATCTAGTTTCGTTTAAAACAAACGGGGTTCAATTTCAAGGTGTATACAAAAAGATATGGATTTTTAACCAAGGAAAGGTCAGAAATATCGGACAACAGATTCTTCAAAACAGATTATGTTGGTCAACTTTGAAAATTCACCATAAATTGTAAAGAATGAATTAGAAGGAGTTCTTTATATGGATAGATTCTTATTCGAGTCTAGTTTTCAACGGAATAAATGGAATTGAATTCCAGTGTGTATATCAATACAGAATACAAATTCTTTAAAGGTAGTACGAGTTGTCTGAATATGAAAAATTGATGGGTTGTTGTGTAGGAGTTATAATTGATGTACTTTGCTGGAAAATTCTTTTTTGGAATTGAAATGAGTGTTAAGTGTGAACTATGATTATTTTGGAAGTTTGAAAAAGATTACTGATTTAAGTACAACAATTGTATAGTTGGTGTACTTAAATGTAATTATGCTTTTGTAAATGCATTTGAATGGGAATATATTTTAATGCTGGAATTATGAGTATTAAGAATTTAAGTGGTAAAATGGTGAAGGACCATTTTGGGTAAATTGGAAAAGTTTGTTCCAATGTTATAGGAATTATTAAGTATTGAGTAATTTGATAGAAAATGTGTTCAAGTATATTTTGGAGTTATTTTGGAATGTGTTTATGTTAGTACAATACTAACATATGTAATCGTTATGAATTGTAATTTATACAGATTATAATTGATTTGTGATTGAAGCAAGTCAAGTATAAAAAGGGTTTATTGTGGAACATAGTGAGGCTCATATTTTGAAAGATATAAAGTGTCAAGGTGAGTGCAATACATGCATGACATTATACATGGATGCTTTA